TTACGATCCGTGATTTTGATGATGGTGCGGTATCTTGCGTTGTAAATTGCGTGATTAGATATTGACTGGCAATAATAGCATTGGCAACTTTGCCAAACAGGAAGTTGGCCCTCTTCCTACACATACAGGGAGATGCATGGGATGGATGTACGCACTGGTATAACACTCCAACGGCTAACAAGCCTTTGATTTTCTCAATTTCTAACGACCTCGCGAGGAAAGTAAAGTTTTCTTCTTAAAAATCCAGTGGCCTAATTTAGCCGGCGTTCTTCCAGGGAGCTAAATGGATTTGGATCGGATTATTCTGCAGTTTAAGTGGCAAGTTTGGGAGCATGTGTGGATAAAAAGCAATGGTGCAATGAATGTGAGCAATAATATGTGCAGTTTTGAGAAGTGGGGACAGAAAGTGAAGAAAAATTTCTGATTTATGCAATACTCGCCAACTGTCTATTTAATACCACTCTATTGGCAACTAACTCCAGGCGGTGACGTACTTAGCAGAAATTGTAACTCCAACATTAATGTCTTGTGTGGAGCGGCCCAAAGTTGGGCGAGCGTTTGAGGAGAGGGAACCGTGGAAGAAAATGGAGACATTACGGAGAATAAATCAAAGGGTGGGAGGGATCAGTTTCTCTCGGCACAAGCACTATCATATTTTTGTATTTGTCCTCATCGCCTTCATAAAAAAAGTTGGCAGGACATTGGACCCAGGCAACGGAGGCTACTTGCTTTTGGGTCATGTTAGCAAACCAGTTGGAACTCTGGATGTACATATTATTGCATATGCATAAATACGCCTCGTACGTATTTCTCGGTACAAACCAGAACGGATGATCATCGGACTTTTATAATTTAAGACGTTACGATTTTTCAATTCGAATACGCATGATATTCAATCTTCGAAGGATTTTGAGCATGGGTTTCAATGTTGGCATGCATCCCTGGTGTGACGAAATGTCAAACAGGGTGACAAAGTAGTGGTTATACGCTCAGATGTATAATTTGAGGCGTGCGGAAATAAATTTTAACAAGTAGCAACAACAGGGTTCTATCCATTTCTTGGGAAGATTCATTTTTGAAATCTGTGGGAGAGTGGGGACGAAATTTATCAGTCTTGATTGCAAAGTTTCTCCAAGAATAAGAAAGAGTTGTGCAGCGGGTCCGCCTCCTTAACAATGACATGAAGCAATTCCACCAAACTCTGAAAACTAGACTCATTCATGGAAAGAAAGACTCCACCAGTTTATCAACCTCTTATTCCTTGCTGCTGTTGTGTCCATGATGATGCCACCAGAAAATACTGCCTTTTTCTGACAATTTTATACATTTCCTGGATACACATACTTTCCACTTACTCTTGGCTGTGGGCTCCCTCACAAAAGTTACATTGCAACGATCCTCCTCCATCACATTTCACAATTTCTAGCATTTTCTGGCCGTTCTCCACCCCGAGAACTTTCAAAAACGAAAATGTCTACAGTCAAATGTTGCAAACCAACAAAAGTGACAAAATTTTGATTGAAAATATGTATACTTTCCTTTTGCGACTATTTAAGTAAAAATCTGACCAGCAAAGTGGAGCCACTTAAGGTCTCTTTGTAAATCCATTCATTAGTTTTAGTGGGTTATGCCACAGCATGCATAAACAACCAGGAGCGAGGGAGGGACATGGCAGTGGCGTCTGGTTTAGTTAGGGGCTGACTAAACATACCGCCGATGAGGTTGCTTTGCTGTGACCACGAAAGCAAAACATTATTGGAGTCGTAAGTAGTTCAAGATACAAATGTCCGTCCGTCCATGTGTGCGAAGGGAGGGAAGGGCGCAGAGGAGGCGAGGAGAGAGAGAGAGGGAAATTGTAAATGGACTTATAAAAGAGGGACATCGATTATTTATAGGTGTGGCCTGAACATGCTTTCCATTCATTATCTCGCTCAATTATGCTCTCCACTACTTTCCCTCTTTGAACCTCGACCCCAATGTATCACGCCCAATAATGCGATGGCCCTTCTTTTGATGCTCCTGCTCTGCTGGGAAATGCAGAATTAAAACGGGTTTCATGATCATGGTATCTATTCCACGGCTAATTCCGCCTCCCTTGTCAACATGTTTTCCACTTTTCCCATCCCGTTCCACCATGAGCTGTCAATTAGCATTAATTAACTACACAGACACACAGAGACAGCGAGGAAAGGCAACAGTGCGCACTTCGCAAGGAGGTCTTGCCTACACGCATTTGCTGATTTTTTTTGGGAAAATATTATCACGTGGCGACTCTTTATCAGAAAATTTATTGTTTGATTCTTATCATATTTTTATTACTACTTTTATTTAATGAGCCATCTTTTTTAAATTCATCAAAATGACTTTGCAGGATTGACAATGGGCTTGTAAATAAGCCGTCACGTACGCAGTATGCATAATGTGTGCATATATTTCTCCAAAATTTAGCAACAACTTGCATAATTAAATGTGTATGTAATGTGCGCTGCCTATTACGGTGCATGTCTTGAGGCGAGTGCTGGTCGTTTGGAGCCGCGTTGCACTCTATTCGAGGAGGGGTTGGGAATATGATACAAGTTTATTTGCTGAAATGTAGTTTTGTCTCGTTATGATGAACATGAACTTACCATTTGAATCACATAAGTTGTGACGACAAGGACCAAGTACGGGAAGAAAATGTCGCCAAGCAGCGGAGATGCAAAGTAAACATAAAATGTAAGAATGAAATTGACAATTTCTCCTCCTTACTTATGATTCCACTCTCCCAAGCAATAAAACATGTCCCTGGTGAGCTGTAGCCCAAAATGATCTGTGACATACTCGTCCTCCTCTTCAAACTCAATGCTGTTATGTTGCCGGGCTAAAAACTTACCTTTACCCGCATGAATATTATCACAGGCTTTTTCCGCCTCTAAAAATTCACCGAGAGACAACGACAAGGTTTCACAACACAGCTTCCAATGAGCAGCAGTTGTCATTAGCGAGGACATCTGCTGCTGCTCACTCGGTTGATTGTTTGATAGAAGGAGTCGTCATCACAGAAGAATGGAACAAATTAACAATTATGTCATAGTTAGTTCATTGTTATTGTTTTAATGCTGTCGGTGCACTCTGGGAGGACGGATTTGAATGCATCCATCCACATGAATTTCCATACTTTTACCATCCTGCAAACAACTATTTATAAGGTAACTGTGTGAATGAGGGGATGGAACCTTCACGACGAAAGTATTCTCTGACATTGTACTAACATGTCTCAATTTGCATGCACAAGGTGAAAGCACAAGTCCAGATTTGTACGCTAAAGTTGTTCAGATATATTTTAGAGATTCACCTTCCACGCTTCGATTCTCTCCGAATTTGTAAACATTTTAAAGTTTAACTTTCTCCACTCTGCATCCATTACAAATTGGAATGTCGTGTTGTTGGGCATGGGAAGTATAAAAGTGAAAGTATTGCATTTTAATACTTTCACTTTTTAGGCGAGGGAACGTTGAACTTTGGAATGTCGCTGAGGAGGGTGAAAGGTGATCCGGGCGAAGGGAGGAATGAGATCCAAACAAAAAGAGTGAAAGCAAAAGATGAAGCAGAAGAGAAGTGAAATGTCTTTTTGGAAATTGGATGTAGCGAGAGGACATATGGCCCATTAGAGATTTACTTGCGGCTCTCTCGGCTGACTTAAAAGCATATTATTACTCCTCCCTTTACAGGCATATGTATGTGGATCCATGTGAGAGGTAGAACTTTGTGTCATCTGTGCACCTCTCACTCACTCGCTGCTTCTCATCCCAGACATCCAGACGGATATGTACTTTCACCATATCTCGTGTTCTCCTATGGAGAATAAATAACTTCATGTCCACGCCTGCCATTAGGAAAGTATCGAGTCTGAAAATTTCCGTACATAAATGCAAACACACAAAACAATAATTGGATTCTCAACCTAATTTCGAGGATTAGTCACATTCCCTGATAAACTTTCAAGAACTGGGACCAGGAAAATGGCTGAACTAAAATGTACCATCACGCCCGAGCAGAATGAAGGCCCAAAATTTCCGGAGGAACAAAGCCCGAAATCCATATTTCATGTCCGAGCATACGATTGGTGTCTGGAGGGAGAGCGGACTGTATTTGGAGCAATTGAGGGTTTCGGTTCAGCTTTTAATTTCATCTAAGATATCAGTTAGCAGAGCATTAGGGGCTCTTAAAAAGTGTTGGTGCTGAGCAAACAGGACTCAAGTGGAGTGGGCGAGTGAGTGAGTACTTTGCTTTCCCTGCCGTGGGAGAAAGCGAGAGGAGAAAGAGAAACTCCACGCCGTGGTGTCCTGTTCCTTCCTCCGTCGACTCCTCAAAAACTGATCCCGAGAAGAAGTCCATCTACTTCAACCACCGCCGAGCACTTGAACCTCGTTCTCCATCTCATTCCCCACAAAGAATAATGAGGGATTTCACGTCAAGTTCGTAACCTACGTAACTGCGTTAGGTTTGTAAGTTTACACACTCTTGACGTGAGTTGAGTTTGTAAACATTTTCGTAAACATTTTTTAGTGAAAAAAATATCGTACATAAAACGTCATCAAAATGTTGCTAGCCAACTTTATCCTAGATTAGACCAAATAAAATGCAATTATTTTTGAATTTTTTTGCCCAAAATATCAGTTTTTCAGGAATTACAAAGCCATTTCTTAAGTCATAAAATTCTATAATATACCAAAATGATCGTATGATCAAGACCGATCGATTGACACCCCACTGGATGAAGTGTGTCAATTTAGCCCGGATTTGACATTTGGGGGCTGGTCGGATAGCGACCAATATTTTCCGCTGGAGCAATCTTTTGTTTGAGTAATTAAATTAATTTGCATGATGATGAAAAATTTACAATAGACAATTCATCTCTAAGACAATTTCAACCGAAAATGCAAATATCAAACACTTGAATTATTTACGAACTTTTATTTACGAACCAAAAACATGCTGAGGCAATTCACGCACCCTTGGTAACTACGTAAACAGCGTAAAATCCGTAAACTTACGAACGTTTACAAACAGCTTCCCGTGAATTCACTTTTGTAATTATTTTCGTAAAAATTTATCTGATAATCGAAACAAAATGCCGATCATTTCCAGAAAACGGAAATTAATGGAAGAAATTTGTGAAGCTGCATTTATTGATATAATAAATAGTCCTACACAGGCAGATATCATTTTCGATAACGCGATAGATGATGTTCTGACCATTTCTACGTACCGTCTTTCTGTTCCACGATTATTTGTCCCGAAGTCAGATGATTGGTTCCGAAGAATCTTGCCAAACTACTCCGACGACTATTTCAAAAAATTTATGCGAGTCTCTCGAAAGGATTTCACTCTCATTCTGCGGATGATAGAAAACAGCAACGTCTTTAAGTCCAACAGTCGTCAACAACTAAAAGTCGACCAGCAACTCGCCATAACACTTCATAAGTTAGGGCATGACGGAACCGGAAGCGGGGTATCTACTACGGCAGCGTTGTTTGGAGTTGGTGGGGGTGGTACCATATTGAAAGTGGTCACTCGAGTTCTAAAGGTACACAATAGACTTCACAAGTATGAAGTTGATAGGAGTGTCTAAAAAAATATGTATTTCTCAGGCAATTTTAGAATTAGAAAAAGATTGGATAAGATGGCCAGACGAAACCGAACGATTGGAAATTGCAAGGAATATGGTTGACCAACTTCCAAATTGTATTGGATATATTGACGGATCTCACATCAACCTTGAAGAAGCACCACTGGATGACCCCGAGTCATATTTTACGCGAAAGCAGCGTTACGCCATCCAACTGCAAGCCGTTTGTGACAACAATAAGATGATCAGGAGCATTTTTGTCGGATATCCGGGCTCGGTTCATGATGCTAGAGTTTTTGCTAACTCAGAAATCGGGAAAAATCCAGAAAAATTTTTGGACAGAGGTCAGTGGATTGCCGGGGATTCAGCCTACAAAAATACGGACTACATGATAACACCGTTCAAAAATAATGCGTCAACTGGAACCACTGCGGAGAGACGGCGATTTAACAAGTATTTATCGGGATTTCGTGGCAAGATAGAATGCTGCTTTGGAATTATTAAAGAAACTTTTGGGAGTTTAAAGGAATGGCGAATTCGTGTGGATAGGTCAAATGGACACACGCTGGCTTGTTCGTGGATCAGGGGGTGTATTATTTTGTACAACATTCTGAAGGACTCGTTTACTGAATCGGAGGAAATTAATATAGAAGTTGATGATGATGCCCAAGAAGGAAATCATGACCAAGGGGATGATTACAAACGCAACGCTTTATTTCAATTTGTTAATGGAAAACTCAACATGATGTGATTACCTCAGCATTTTAATCATTAATAAACCTTAGATTTGTTCTGCTTTAATCTGTGCCAACTCCAATTTCAAACTGTATTCTTTATCGATTCGGTATCGCGATATTTCCATCTCATTTTGTAATTTCAATTCTTCCAAAGCTAATTTTCTCTCTTGCAATTTTTGTTCATCTTCATACTGCCTCAATTTCAGTTCATATTCCAAATTTTTTAGTCTTTTTTCTTCTTCCCATTTATCCCTGGCTAAAATTATCTCTTGCTTTTGAAGTTCAGTTCGAATTATGGACGCTTCAGCTAAAGCAGATATTCCGGAATCAGCGTGCTTTCGTTTTCCGAGGTCTTTTCTTGCTGAAGTAAGATTATTTGCGATCAATTTCCCTGGAGTTGATGGCTTCTGGGAGACAGTTTCAACATCCACATTAATTTCGGTTTCCGGTATTTCTTCATCTTCAGCATTCAGTTCATCATCTCGTCCAAAATCACTCCACGATTGTGCTTGAAGAGTTCCCGAGGAGGAATCGTGAAGATGTGGTGGGTCGAATGTAGCTTTTTCACCATAAATTTCATCGAGTTCGTCGAATAGTGGACGTCCCTGGGGAAAGCAAGAATGTCAAAGTATACATACATATGTATAGGAGCAAAAAATAGTTTAGTACTTTTAACAGATTGTTCCCCTTCTAATTCCAGCACGCCTTGACCAGTCCTATTTCGCCATTCCAAAGCTTTGCTGTACTTCGTTTTCAAATTTCGCACCTGATTTTTTAGTTGCTGATCCGTGCAGCTTTCGAACTTCAATAACTCTATCATATTTTTGTAAAATATCGTAGCATTAGGCTTTTCCAGTTGTTTCCCTTTTTGAATTACGTCCAACAAATGCTTTAAAACTTTGCGGTTTTCATTTTCGGACCAGTTCCGGCGTTTCAGAACGACTTTCGTGGGTTTCTTCTTCACAGTGCTTCCAGAATTTTGAGTTTCGTCCTGGACTTCCTCCAGCGTCGAGGTCACTGGTTTAGTTTTCGTCAATTTTCCTCTGGGTGCCATAATTTATGAGAATTGACACGATGATATGTCGCAGAACCAGTCTTGCTAGTGTAGAAAATTTATAGAAAATTTGTAGAAAATTTACAAAATGAAACGTGTGCAAGTGTCGAACAATTTTTTTCTTCCCTAAATTGTGTTTACAAAATACTTTACAAAATTAAAAGACGCCTGTGAGCTGCGTAAGTTTACAAAAGTTTATAAAGTGATTTTCCTTGGCAATTTTTGTAAAAGTTTGTAAGCGTTTGTAAGTTTACGGATTTTACGCTGTTTACGTAGTTACGAAGGAGGGCGTGAATTGCCTCGCTTTTGAAGTGCGTAAGTTTCGTAAAAGTTCGTAAGTCAATTTTCCTTAGAAATGTGTGTAAAAGTTTGTTAAAGTTTGTAAGCTTACAAACCTTACGCAGTTACGAAGGTTACAACTGTGACGTGAGTTCCCTCAATGTTTCTCGAATGGAGATGCGAAATAGATGGCAACTTTCGGATTCCAGATAGTGCCTGAGAGGAACTTGCACAGCCTTCTACATTCCTGCAAACAATTGGAGTTTGCGGAAAATGTCGGTAGGGGAGAATCGAGGCCATGTGTAGATTTACAGGTTATTTATATTTATGCATTAGAAATAGTGAAGAGTGGACGATCAATTAGTTGGCGGATGCAAATATTTATGATTCAAAATCTTTTATCAATACAGAACGCGGCACCCATATCTTTAACTTGCGCCCTTTTCGTTGCCAATTGTGCAAACTTAAAAATGAAGGGTCAATTGTTCTAAATTCGCCAAGTCCGGATTTTCATATGTATGTCTGCAAAAGTCGTTTAATTGACACAACGGATGAAATGACATCAAATGATTCCTCCAAGTGCAAAGCCTTGATGTAAAACATGGGTGTGTCTGGAAATAAGTAATTGTCAACGTGTCGGCATCATTTTGCGAATTGATTTATTTTATACTCGATTGATAAATAATATAACTTTAGTTTATCTACCGCTATTTACTACTATCTACCACTATTCCTATGTTTAAATTACTCTACGGATTTAAGTAAAGCGATTCGAGCCAGCATAAATACGAGTAAGTTTAACGCTTGAACAATATCATTCGGTAAGGTCAACGTCTACATGTAAATCATAAAAATGAAGCATAATCTAGAACACAACTGTATTTTATAAGTATGTAACACGCACCAGAAACATTTGTTACGATTCGTTATTTACAAAATTTACAAAAGGTTGCACATAATACATATGTACATTTACATATTTATTTACGTTAACTAGTTGATAGTCCACTCGATATTTACAATGCATAAATACAAATAACATGTAAATCTACACATAACATACGCATCAGCACATTTTTTAGCGTCTACACATTTATTACGTTTTATCTTGAACGGCTTGTTTGTGACATTTCGATTGATATGATTTTTAAAGAAATACAAAAGGTTTGAAAAACACATCAGTCGGCAGTGGTTATTTGACTTGCGGTAAATTAATTGCTTTTAATATCATAAATGCGACACACCCAGAGAAAGTTTTGATCTATCACCGTCTAAAAAGTTTGAGATGAATTAAGTGTTTTTAATTTACGAAACACGAATTTGGAATTGCACGAAGGAATTTGGAAACACAGTTTTGTTTTTGAACAATATTAACAATATCAGAATTGTGCAATATTTATGTGGAACACCCCAAGGAAAAATCCTGTTGATAGTTGAAACTAATAATAATAATGAGGGCAGAGTATCATAGAATGTATAGAAAACATCAAAGGAAACGGTAGCAGCAGCAGGATAAATATTTACACAATTTTCATTTCATTAGCTAAATTACTTTGTTTAATTTAATTTCATTGTTATCTCCGTTCTAGAAACGTAAAAAGGGGACTAGACAAGGCTAATATGTAATAAGACGCTCTCTCCTTCGTCGGTTCCTCTCTCCTTGAGAAGACAAAAGTTAGCCTAATTTTAAAGATTCAATATTCGCAGCTATTCCAAAGTCTTTAGTTTCGAGGTTCGTTGGGAAATCAACGAAATTTCTAAAACAAAGGATGAGAAAAGTTTTAAACTTTGATGATGAGAAGAAATTGCCTGGTTCAGGCCATTTCGAAGAAGGGGTCCATCCCATGCCAAAAAAGTTGATTACATGAGTGGTAGTAGAGTAACTAACTAACACAGCTTTTTTGAGAGGATGATCATGATGGAACAAACTCGCATCAAACAATGAATTGATTCGGATTGGATGGATTTTCTTGAATCTGTCACGAGACGACTTTTACAAAAAGTGGTGGTTGAAATAGTCGAAATGAAGTCGGATCCGTGTAATCATGACATTCGAAAAAACTATCATCATCACTGTTGTCAAATCCAACCAGATGATTCTAACTGGGACGGAGTCGTCGGCACTGCGCCGCCACCGGAACTGCCATGGGAAGCCCTTGTCTTTCCTGGAGTCACATTTTGTTGGCCGTTGTTGTGCTGAACGATGTGTTGGGCAAGATGATGACTGTGAAGATGCTGGTGTTGATAATCAAAATCAGTTGGAGCAGCAGTCATTCTCATCATCATGTCATTGGAGTCCGGACAAGTGTTGAGATTATTTGGGGAAGCAGCAGCAGTAGAAAAAGTAGAAAATGAGCCTTGATTAGGATTGCTGGCAGCGCAGCCATAGTTCATCATTGTCCAGAGTAATTCAACATCTTGTTGGTATTGCAGCGATGGCCGCGGATTTTGTAAGCAGGTCGAAGCGAGATGGGTGGAGGACATTGTTGCATTGGAAGAAATAATGGCCGGTTGATTTGCGTCATGTCCTAAATGTCATGCGTTCGACTCTTTGAGTGATTTTGGAAGTCTCGTTGCAGGGGAGCAGTCTTGTTGCCAATCGGGATACTCATTATCCAATTGAGTTTGAGATATTGTGGGACGTGGAAACCTGGACAGCTTCTGGAATCCGTTGAGTTCAGGATATGCGGGTTTCGAGTAGGAGGACTCGTCTGCAATATAACATTTTAAGAAATTAGTCAAGCCGACCCATCCAAAAATAAACCTTGGTACTAAACTCGGCATCAGATAATAAAAAGAAGACTAGGCAAGAAGTGTAGAGTGAAAGTGAGGGTAGAAAGTAAAAGCTCGAAACTTCCAGTGTGACCCAGAGCGCCTCCTGCCTACCCGGGTTGAAACTTTTTCTCGGATGCAAACGTTTGAACAAAGGATAGCTACCCTAGTCCCACAACCGACCTCCAGAAGTCGTGGATGGGACTACAAGAAATCGGGGAGTTGAACTCCTTGCTTTTCTACAAAATCCACTGCGTTACTCTACATACTCAATATGTAGCTCTTTAACGACATGAAAGTTGCGTGTGTAGATTTTTAATCTAAAGAGCCGTACAGTTAATTACAAACATTACACTGTGGGAGATTACTACAAAAGTTAATTAGAAAGCGGATCATGAAAGATTTTCAGTCAGAGCACATTTCCCATATGTACATAAGTATCAACGTGAATGTAGTAAAACGGGTTGTAGAGTAGTTTTCATTATATATGTATTTATAAAAAGTGCTTGGTGGTCAAGTGCGTGTGGTTGTAAAAGCGTGTAATTAAGATAGTAGCGAGCTCATTAATACCCAGTCCGAACATTTAGAGATACGTATAGAAGGAGTAAAGACATACCAATTCGTCCAGGTAGTAACGGGGCGAGATGTCTTCGCTCCAAAGATTTACATGAATTGTCAAACTTTTTCTTATTTCCTTTATTGTACAGTTTTTTGCTACCGGATTTGCCGTTGGCACTGTTAAAGCTATCACTACTATAGGCAGGTGAAGTACATCGTGAATTCTTGGTGGGTCTTGGACCACACGTCGTAGCTGCTGGATTGCAATTTCCACTGCTGCCACTATTATTCCCTCCACTGCCACCACTGCTGTGTCCACTGAAATAGTTATTTCCTGAATTTGGAATCACATCTTCCGCCTCCGCATATAAATTGCAGGATGTCGAATCAGAAGCCAGACTTGGGAGGGAGGACTGGATCTCTCTGTCAATTAAGGGGTGTTGGGGTAGGAAATTACTGTCTTCGGGGTCGCCACTTTGGTGATACACTGCTTCTGACAGCCTATTATTTACCGAGGCTGACTTGTTTGGGCTGAATATCTCCCCGATATGATAAAGGTTCTCCGTTACATGATGAGCATTATGATAGGGATGATGATACTGGGAGGAGAGTGGTTGCTCGTGAGATCGGTTGGGGCCAGGACTGGGGTAACATCCAACACCACCACGGGCGGATGCTGGGAGCTGTGGCAAGATAAGAAATTAGAGCGTGAAATTAGAACACCATGCCAGGAACCATACACAAACCACCCAAATTCTGGTGGTGGGTGTTGCAATTAGTGCAAATTGCTTTTATCGATATCAGATCACCATACCATTTTCATGGGTGCTGAAGGGGACGGAGATGGGGAAGCGTGAGCTGACTTGAATCTGTTGAAATTGTTGGACCCCATGGACAGTTTAGATCGGCCTACAACAAATCACAAGAAAATCAGCATTTACCACAATGACGCCATTTGCATGCAAATTTTAAACATTATTTTATAGATAAGAGCATTCCATGCTTTCCCTTCTTCATTCTTCTGCTTTATCGAGTACGAATAATCATTCCTCGTAGAAAAACCGATGCTGTGTGGGGAATCAAAAGTTACGTTTTTGAGACTCAACTCACCCGAACTGAATTGATCCGATTCTCGGCTTTCGTTCATCAAATTTTTGGCCAGAGACACAGGATTGGATGGCAGTGGATCCTGAAATTATAATCAAATTAAAAAATACTGGTCCGATTGACACAATTAGATAGATAGCTTCAGTGCATGGTTTCATGATTTTGCATAAAACTAAACGTGAGTGTTTGTTTGTACACCAAAACCAATTCAAAAATATTCAAGGCACATTATTTGGTTTGTATTCAGTAGCCAAGTAGGTAGCACTGCTTATTTCATGAGTTTACTCAGCATGTCTTGAAAGTTCATAAAGGTTGTGTGAAAACTACCCAGGCATGAAGTTCAATTTGTATGATCTTACGTAATTTGGTCTTCTCTGCTGAATCAGGGTAGTTGTGGCATAGGGCGTGAGATCCTGCTGTTGTTGCTGCTGGACTTGGTACTGGTGGAGAAATTGTGGGTGCATTTGCATCATCACGCCTCCTTTGCTGGTCGTGTTGTAGAAAGTGGTCAAGTTTTGTGGGTCCACCTCGGCGTAATCTGTCGCCTCTGTCATTTCGCCGTTCATCAAGTGGTGATTGCTCAACAACTTGGCTTCAGACCTGTTTGAGTCCTTATCAGACGCGTCTGACGGTCTCCATCGCTGATCAATCCACAAACTTTGTTTTCCACTCACAAACTGAGAGTCAGTATGCGGGGCGACTACCACACCTGTGAATGCACAAAGAAGACAACATATTTTAATATGAGCAGTTCCATGTCTTGATGTAATTAACCATTAGTTTATTATTCTTCAAGTCATCGTTTAAAAATGCGCAAACGTTAAAGCAATGAAAGTTTAAGTACCCTCCACCCGTTAATAACAGGCAACAGTGTGGCAGAGTAACACGATGCACTTATGTACTGTGGACCTGACGAAAGAGCAAGAACCCTTTTCTTTCGTTCATTGTTGGCTATAATAATAATTTGCCTAGTTCCTGCCCTTTAATTTTCGTCGCCGAAGCATAAAATCTTACCGCTTAATGAACACCTCTTTACGAGTTATGCTCTCGAAACATAACTTTTACTGCTTTTTAATGTCCAGCTGTCTCTCTATTGTTTGGGGAGAAGAGGAGGAGGACAATGAAGCCATACTTTTGCCATCAATTGTACATACATAGGCAGAGGGAGAATGAGTCAAGTGTAGTTACATCATCGCCAACAACAGGCGGTGGGAGGATATTGGTAACAATAGCGTGAGAAAAATGAGAGATCGTCCCAAATTATTCATGACACTTTAATAGAATTCTGTTACGATTTTAATGTACACAAAAAAATGCACGTCAAGTTAAAAATAGTAAGTGTACATTTCAAAGAGTTAGTTAACCTCGCAGGAATACGTAAATACAATGAATCTGGGGGGCGAAGAGAAAAAGTTGGTCGCAAGCTGAGATAATAATTTCATATTCGAAATTGAAATCATCTCACCCAGTGTGGCGTGACTGATGAAATTAATGGCAAAGTAATCTTCTCAACATCAAAACCAAGAGAACTGTTTCTCTCCACCAACTTCTCTTTCTCTCAGCAACTTGCTTATGGTAGTTAGTTCTGTATGTATCTATCTAAAAGTGCTCTCTTAGGCCGAATTGAGTGCTAGACTGCTGCAGAGTATATACTGGTGGCACGTATAGAATCCGAATTAGAGGACGGAACTTGGCCGTCAGTTGTCACCCACCCACCAACACCATTCTGCTCCTTCCCACTGAACAAGTGCAAGTAATGACGCTGACAATGACACAGAAAATAATGAAACAAAGGCAAGTTGAGCCACTCACTTGAAATATGGTGGTCCTTCTTCCCGTGGGACTGTCGCCTGGTGTAGAGGATAATTGAAAGAAGGATGAAGAAGACGACCAGGAGACACCCCATCAGGATGATAAACCAAACTTCCTTCAGAATCTGGGAAGCTCCGCCACCATCTTCCGCCGTCACTCCGTTGTGCTCCCTACGACCCTCCAGCAGGACGGGGTCCATTGTGACCTCGACGGGGGAAGAAAAAGGACCCAAGCCCACCGAGGTGAAAGCGGACACGCGAATGAAGTAGGCTCGTCTGAAAAGAGTTTATCACATAATTTACATTGTTCTGAGAGCACACTGATGGTTCTCCCATTTAACTTCTTTCACTTACCCGAGGGTCAAGTTATTTAAAACTATGGTCGAAATGTTGGGTGAAAAATCCATCTCAGCATGAATTCTCGAGTCATTTCCACGAACTTCGACCTGTTCACAAAGTAGATTTACAAAACACATTAATATTTTGGCAGACAAAATTATCGCAGGTTCGTAGAAGGGAAATCTAGTACAGAGAAAGCAGAGGAGAAAATAGTACAGTGCATGCGAATGACAGAGCAGCATGGTCATCAGTTATACTGTCCAATCGAGAATCTCATTAAGTACCCAACACCAAATTAAAGTGCGTAGAGAGTACGTACAGCTGCACAATTTTATGACATCGAGTAGTCTCGGTTTACCAACACAAGCTTGTGGTCACGGTCTGGGGTAAAAATGCTATTTAGGTTGCGCATCTCAGAAATGCTCGCACCATCCAACGCCGTAAGAGTTCAATCAACCACTGCTTTCTGCAGTCTTAAATCAACGAGGAAATTTACGGCCCGACAAAGTATGCCGTAAAACTTTATTCACGCTTTCCACTCCTGCCATGCCTCTTCTTGAGCACTGTGTGTGTACAAAACCACATACCCAGTGAAAAAGATTGGGAGTTTATGGAGGAAGAAAAGTGCCAGATCTACGCTTAAAATTGAGCATTCGAAGGAAAGAATATCATGTTTTATCAAAGTTAAATTGCTGAAAAATTGATAACCCTCAACACTGTGCTCCTCCTGTCTGACTTTGCTTCTAAATTTTTAATTTGTAGGTCGAGATCATGTTCATTTCATCCGCATTCTTGAACTAATTATTGAGAGTGTTTCAAGTGTAGGAAATATGTAGCAATATGATCATGCTGAGTAGAATGGATATGCAACGTACATACATTGTGTACACCCGGTAGAATATGACCCAAATAGTTTTTCATCTGGTTTTTGTAAATACATATAACATTTTGGAGACAATTTTGTTGTATAATTACCATATCAAATTGTCACATCTGCATGTTAAAAGAGTTCCGCAAAAATTTTTTTAAAAAGCATAAAAATCTTATTAACACCCCCGGAAACCTAACTTTCACCGTTCATCCACATGATCTGCAGAGAGTGGGAAGGTTCGCATTGAATTTTCGTGGAATTTGGGAGGGGGAAGAATACAAGAAGCTTTTCAAAATTCAAGTGGTAGTGGATGCGGAAGAGAAACTTCTCATTGATTAACAATAATGGAAACAGAGGGGGAAGAAGACGAAGAGTAGTAGATCAGTGTTTTCCTAATTTAACTCGGTACAGGGAAAGGCATTATTCGCTGGGTTGCTGGATGGTTCGAATAGGCATTGTCTTCTGTCGCACACAAGACTGGAGGGAAACGTCGTCGTGCAACACCGTGACCATTAATGTTAGTGTGATGCAATATGCATTAAACCGAGTGGAGGAGGAGGAAACAATAGAAAAACGTAATAAATACTTCCTTCCTCCTCATTCCGACTTTCTCCCGTTTTACATTAAAACAGGAGAATGCACCATCACGAAATACCTGATCCTGCCTACATACGTACTACACAAGCTCAAACAATGGGTGAATTTATGAAGAGCTTCAACTACATTGGGTCAGCTAGATTGTAAGATGGACAAGAGGATGGTCTTGCTGGTGTAAGTGAAATCAAGGAAAAGCCAGTGGTTCGATATAATAAAGCGAGAGGGAAAGTACGTAGGCGGTGAAGAAATAGAAAGAAAGTTTACCCGGTAGCCCTTGAGTTCGCCGTTGTGTTGCTCCAGGGGCGGTGGTGACCATTTCACCGACGCCGCCGTAGTATTCATCATCTTGATCAAGAGAGCTTGCGGTGGGGCAGATGGTCCTGAAATACATAATTACGCACGTTAAATTATGTTTCATTGAATCCGACTAACACTAAACCCAACCCCAAACTCGCTAACCATTCCGTGTGCTTATCAACAGAGGAGAAAATGTTAATGCATTTAGCAAGAGACAAAAGACTACGTGGACACAAAGTATATGAGCATTACGAGGGGAGAAATTCATCCAGGATGTGGGCAAATTTATCGTTAATTTTAAACCAGCCATGTTTCGTGGGGGATGTCTCTCCTGCGCTGCGAAATATTTGTCTCGCCGGTGAATTTGTCGTGTTTTATGTCTATTCTGGAAATGAGCCCAGATGAGTTTTGTATCTATCCTCTTGCGGATGCTGCTGCTTTCTCCTCCCAATTCCACCCACACCAAGTCATGGATTGATGGGATGCACTGCACTTGCATTAATGCTTCCTAGACTAACGAATGCATTTCTGTCTCACGTGAGTAATCAAGAGATGAGCTTGCATTTTAGACATGATAACAGTAAATCTACATTTATAGCACGTACAGTTATACTTTTATCCACATGCAGAGTATTTGTTCTACAGCATCAACCATTAAATTTACAACGAAGCAATTTATAACGAATGAAGTTTATCAAGATTTTGACAAGGGCTCTTCACGGTACATCATAATTACTCATCGCTCTTGAGTTTTCCCTTGCTCGGAATGGATGGTAAATATTGTCGTAATAATAGTGTGCGTGTATATATATGTAGAGCCTCCGGTCGCTTTTCAACTTGAGCAACTTCATTCAGCCCAACACAAGATGCTTCTTTGTGGGACTAATAAGTCAAGGGAACCGAGATGGGATGAGATTTAGAGTTGTGGTTGAGGTCTTGTCAGGTTTTTTCTAAAGATTTCGATCGAAGAGTGATTTATGACTGGAAGGGTGCATCAATATTTATCATGGAATATGTGTACATGCATCCACTCGTAACGTTCACCAGAAGAAGAGTAAATAATAAATGGAGGAAAACTACTTACGGTCATCAGCAGAAGAGACGATCTTAGTGTTGGACGCTTGGCCTTCCACGCTCCTGTAGAACGGGGACACGAACACTTGGTAGCTGCTGGACTTTCTCAAATGCTGAATAACATGGGAGTACACGTCAAAGTCGTTCTTTTGGGCGACCACGGTCAAAATACTGAACCCCTGGAAGGCCAGTCCCTCCCCAATCTCACGGTAGCGGATATAGTAGCCGACTTCACTGCTCCCACGCCACGTACGTTTAATGCCCTGGAAAATACACAGTGATTAAGTACTATTTGCATATATTTATACATACCTAAGCCAAATTTGAGTAAATATTTATCCACCCCTGTAAACTTTTTATTAATTCATGGTAGAAATGCAATGGTTGCACTTCAGCCGGAATAAATGCAGCTTAGTTCAAAGAACTCGACGAGTTTTGTAATATTTTCACCAACAGCGTCCTATTCAACATGTGAGCTTTCTCGTTCGTCATTGTTATAAATAAAATATGAGGCTAGCGGATAGCGATGTAAACGAGAGAGGAGGAATTCTTCATTCCAAACGGAGTACCTTCACTCACTCGCTGGATGAATGCGTTTGCAGTGAAACAAATCTCAACCTTGGATTTGAAATTTCACCTCGTCCAATCATCGTCTGCTGACTGAGTTAGTTTTGAAACTGCATAATGAATGAAGTACCTAGTGCATCCAATCCGGAGTGAAAATATCCTGAGGGACGTCACAAGTTCAAGTATCATCACATAATTAAGGGGAAAGCGAGTCATGGCGTGGTTGCAGCAGGTCTTAACTACTTGACTTGCTCCTGACTCTGACGGAATGTTGGGTGGTTTGGTTGGTTACAAATATATAAATGTGGCTCTGGAGGAGTCGATGTAATTAATCAAAATAAAATGGACAGGGAACGGATGGAGCTGATGAGCCATGGCTGTTTAATGCCTTATAAATAATACCATTACGTTTACAATGCAGAGACAGCAGAGAGACAGAGCGAGGGGGTAAAAGGAGGGTGGATCTGGATCTGCTCGGGATTCTGGATGTGATTACTTATGGTCCCACACAATACAAATGCAATAATAACACAATGGGATGGGACACGAAAAGTCAGGTCCTTTATTTTGTGGGGAAAACTCGCTCATTCGTTTACTCCCTGCCATTAGTCCCATAAATACATACATCATCCGTCTAACAAGAAGGTGGATTGAGACATTCATTATTGAGATCACGTTGATAGAGCAGTATTATTAAACTACTGAATGACAGCAGTTTGGGAAAATTGGTCCTAATAATCCACTGATTCGTATATAAATATCAATGTGTATCAGTGAATATCATGGTAATATAAAGACATAGTTGGTGGTGGTGAGAAGTCTGTCTTGGTGGAAATACGTACAATAGAGCCATCAACCAGTTATTTATGGAGCTGTGAAATCTAAATACCGATTTCATCTCAGCCTCATTTTCCTTAGATTGGGTGTACAATAACATTCAAAGTAGAAATACAGATCCTCGTCCAAAATAAGCAGCTTAGTGCACAGGGCTTAAGGTCAATATTATAATCAGATCATGAGAGGTTGGATGCCACCATGTTGTGACCAAATAGAGAGATATAATTCCTGGCCAGAAGAAGGCGAGCCTATAATCCCCTTCCAACCCAAGCAACTGCGTGTATGTATCGTGGAGGGCATCAGGAATTCTCATCGGAATTAGTGAGACAGGATCTGTTCTGGAACTACAGCTACAATAATGATAAGTAAGTAAGGAGACTAACTTTCCAGGAAATCCTGATGGAGGTTGATGAGGCTGATTCCGCACTAATTAACTCGATATCACTGGCAGATAATTGATTTCTTGCTGCTTCGTCGTCCAACTCCTCCGCTCCAGATGCACTCCCTCTTCGCGAACTTTGTCTTGGCTTCGTCTTAATGGAATCCGAGGCTGCCGAAGGTACCGAGAAACCCTCCATATTTTCCGCCCTGATGATGAACACATAAGTCGTGTCTGGCTTGAGCCCATCCACCGTGTGAATTATCACCTCCCCCATCCGCGTCCCTCCGTAAATTCGCTCCCCAATGCTCATCCATCCAGACTGCAGATCAGGGCTGAAGGTTTCAATACTGAAGCCCAAGAGTGGCTGCGTCCTTGTGGGGACGGCCACCTTGTTCATGGCCCACGTCCAGGACAAAGTGACCGAATTGTGCTGCGTCTCATTGACTAGAATGGGTTGGGATGGGGGTGGTGGGAGCAGGGCGAGGTTGGTACGATGAAACGCAATGTTGGGGTTTGTTGGAGACTCCACATTGAGACTGGCCGTAGCCGACGTTTCCCCCGATGAAGACGAGGCCACACACGTATATTGCCCCGCGTCCACGGATCGTAAATCTATCCAAGAGATAAATATTTTGTCTTAGTCAACCAACTCGACCATGTTACCAAAGACTCTGTGAAACTTTCCAGGTTCTCTTACACACTCCGAAAAGAGTGAAAACGAAGAACTATATAAATACATATAGGCCAAGCATGTATAACAAAAAGTATGAAAGCATATATAATTTGTGTATATATAAATAAATAAATAAAAACATTGGGATATGGCTAAAGCGAAATGACAGGACGAAGGAGAAAAATAGAGACAAGTCATTGTTCAGTGCATGAAGTTGTCCAAGGCGTTATCTTGATCAGAAAGAAAGCAGAGAAGGAGAGCGAGAGGCTAGGAAGTGACATTTATAGATAGCACTATTAAAAATCTAGAGATGGAGAGATCCGTCCAGCTTCAAGGGAAGGAAAACACAATGACCACGATCACTCTCGGGGAACTCTGTGCCCATGGTTCAAGAGGATACAAGAGGCTGATTGTGAGGAAAGTACAAAGTTTACGAGAGCAGTAGTAGCATAGTAGCAGCAGTAGTGAACTGGTTGTAAAAGGAAACCAAGACCGGCCAAGTGGACGAACGGCTTAGTTTTGCGTGGACTTTTCTTGCGTCGCCAATGGAGTTGTCAGACCAAGAATAAGACGCCAACCAGCATGATGATGGCGGCCGGTGCAATTCACTGCACTAGATTGGACAGGTTTCGATTTTTTCTCCCAAATTGGATGTTCAGAAAGAAGAACTGAACAATAAATCAAGAGGTGCGCTATACTCTGTCATTTTAAGAAGATCTATAAATTTTGTGACAAAATAACAAAGCATGGAAAAAAGCGAAACAGACGAAATGCTCTCCAAGTAATGATCCTCATCCATAAACTCAAATGTGCTACGTAGCATTACCACTGGACCCTTCAATGGAGATTTGAAAGCGAATGATCAAACTTGTCAAGTGCACAACAATAATTGTTAAATGAGCAACCTAATAAAATGCAGTTTAGCGGAATTATTACGAGCTGATGATGGTCGATACGCACATGCACCGAATCACACCATAACATGTGCATTCTGCAATGAGCTGACAATGCACGATGGGGTGGAGGTTAGATTTAGTTTAATTGGAGTGGTTAATCAGTTGAGAAATTTATGACTTGGCCAGAGCAGTGGATTTTCTGAGGGAGCATACATTATTTAGCAGCCGTAGAGAAAAACACCAGCACAAAGTCGATATGAGTCCACGGTTGAAGGGTTTGATGTGACTGCTCTGCCATAAAGTCAATTACCGGAATGGTACTGCCAAGTGGTGCACCACGACCATAAAACTGCATTTCCTCAATTTCATTCCATCTTTTCGTCACGACAAAAAGTCAAGTTCGTGAACTTCACAAACGGATGGCTAGTCCAAGCTGCAATTGTGATGGTGTGTGGCGAACAAGGGGTCAATCGAAGCAATAACTTTTGCTTTAACGACGTCCATCCATGTCCACGAGAGAAAGCGCGCAGATAAAAACTTGATATGGAAGGATGTGGATATTTTGAACTCTCATTGTACACATGCACAGACGTACCCATCATAAAATTGATAAACCTATTAATATGTGTCCCATGTCAACTGATCTGACTTTTTTATGTGCTATGTAAAGTGGAAATAACTTAATTTGTCCTCCTATGTACATCTGTGCTCCTTCGTTTCAGCAAATTGACTCAAATAAATTTAATCATAATGTTCGAAGTATTTCTGGTGAAGGAGCATAAAAATTTAAACTTCAAACGAGTAATCGATATTTATTTCCAAGCTTGCATGATTCTCGTGTGAGCAAAAGGTTTTTGAGTACATGCGATGTGAATTAAATTGTAATTTGTTCCAAAAATATTCTGGAGAAAGTATCAAATTTTGAGCTCAAATTCGAACGAGAAATCGTACGTGATCAAGACAGGATGGCAATTTTTAAAGTGATGCAATGGTATCAGTTCAGTATCGTACCATGTGCACAAACTATATTTTCGCATGTTGCACTGTTCATTTTTCCAGCTGTAATTGGTTAAGAAAACTAAATATTTTCTTGTCGAATTCTTCCAGAGAAATAAAAGTTTGAGTTATTACTACAAATTAGAAGCATTCGTAATATGTGTGCAAGTGAGTACAAGTTGCAGCTTTGAAGTAAAGCTATAGCGTGTATATGTTTCCCAAAAAGCAAAGTGAAAGTAAGCAGAAAATTGCTGAATTAGTGAAACTTGTTCGCGTGATATGTAGTGCAGCGGTCATACTCGGATATGTATGTACTTAGGTTTCAGCTATTGGGCAGTATCGTGACTTACCTCCAATGTGAAGCGTTCCATTTGGCGAAATATTAATTCTTCCCCCATTGTTTCCGGAAGCATCAAATTCCAATTCCATGCCATTTTTTAACCATTTCACGGTAGGGAGTGGTCCAATCGTCGCTGCGCTACCACCACTTGAACTGGATGGACCCACCTCGCAAGGAATTGTGGCCATGCTTTTGATGGGGAGGGTTTGATTGGTGGGGAGGTGACTAATAATTGGCGGTGGGTCGTGTGAGGTGACTTCTAATCTGACGATGCTATCTCGAGACCCAGCAGCGCTTAGGGCAGAGCATACATAAACACCCGCATCCTCCCTCTTCGCTCCTTGAATGCGAAGTACGACTCCCTCAGGACCTTGGAGCTGCACTCGAGAATTCGCCTCAGAATCAGGGAGAAAGTACTGCGTGGAGCCCTCCTTTCTCCAACGAATCTCGGGAGGTGGACTTCCTACTGCAGCACATTCGAATTTCGCCACTCCATTTAATCCAATTCGCACGTCGCGTGGTCGAGTTGTAAACTTGGGCCTTGCTGTAAAGTCCACCGGAAAAAAGAGAGGAAAAAACATTAGTTTGTTTTATTTTCACAGTCACCTTGATTCAACCCAGATCGAGAGGAATCATTTTGTATTACATGAGCATGCTTTATTGTTGTTATCTCTGAAATTGCAATTTATACGGCTTTACGCAGGGAATCAAATCTTAAAATGTTTCCATCCTATTTTCCCCAGTGTGTGTCCAGGGGCACATAAATACTTCTCCCGAGGCTGTGTCACTTCCTCACGCGGCACGGCACATTGTGATCACGTGTGTGCGTGGGGAAAACATGTTTCGTTTCGAAGCAGGAGAATTGGAGAAAGTGCATTTATCCACAAAATCTTTCCCCTCCGTCTCTGTAATTCGGTGGACAGGAGCTGAATTACGGAGGAGAATCTTGAGATAAAAAGGAAATTGTGCTCCTCTCGTCATCCACTTGGAAATTAGGAAAGGGGAACATTTATCACTGCTAACGGCGCACTCGTGATGCACTGAATATTGAACAATTGTACATGTTACCTTCTCCTGCCTGCTCACACTATTGCGATGGCAAAAGGTTTTTTGAACTTTCCTTAGAAAACCAAGTGTCATGTGTCCAACTTGGCACACGGAATTTAAATATAGAAACATAATTCAGAGGAAACTTTTGATGACATGTTGGAGATTTTATAATAAGCTCGGATTCATAAGTATGGTATACACATATACGACGAAATATGTACGTATGAAGGGAATTGTGGAAACCAACTTTCGAGAATTTGCAGCACATACTTGAACCACACATTATGCATATTGAACAATACTCTACAAGCAAAATCCCAACCATCTGGCATGTAAATGATTTTTGACGACAAAAGTTTTCAAACAATCATGGCCATATTCCCAGCAGAGGGATATGTAAATTTCTACCACCCAGCCGCCCTGCCCGTCCAACAACCAAGAAGAACGAATCACAGTAATATTTAACAAGACCAAGAATCTCAAAATGCGTTTTCAGTGCTGGTTTTTACATTTTATATGTCTTGTCCAGAGGAATATTATGAAACCAATTTAATTGACACGACATGACAGCTTGCGATTGAAGCGCGTTTTGCATTGCGTCAAGGGTGCATTATAAAACAATGCAAGTTTTTTTTCACCAGCGCGTATTACTGTCCACTCTGAACAGAATAGTGAATTCATGCACACAAGCAAACTAAAAATAAAAAAGTTTGGTCAATTACCATCTAAATGGTGCGTAAATTATGGAAATGAAATGACTGAAGAAATGGTAATTCACGCATCTCATATTTAACCGAACTTAACATCACCGCTTAACACGCCTCCTATTATTACCACCAAGTCAACGACGACGTGTGAATGATTCAACGATCGTCACGTTTCGAAGCCTGTCCACGTCTCTTTTTTTCTCTGGAATGAATGGATGGACTCGAATGTGAAACTTGAGAGACACTCCTTTCCCATTTCGTCCGAGTGGTAGCCTCCCTTTAATATCTATTCACAATTATTCAATTAAAAAGGTGGGACAAGCTCGGACTGAATGCATGACGAAGCAGTTATGGCTGTCAGTGTGTACAAGACTTAAATCATTGTTTGCGGTAATGTCTCAATAACCCATTTCAATGGGAAAATGTAGATCTTTCTCCCGTACATGGGACAATTTGATGTTGAATAGTTTAAAAAATGACGTGAATAAATGAAATCGGATATCCCATTGCACTTAACCTTTTAACTATGGGTTCAACGCTTCACTTGTGCGATAGAATGCAGACAACGTCTGATTCTACCTAATAGTTACTCCAAGGTACATTTGTATCTTTAATCTCGTCCATTCGTACCACATCTTATTCCACATATCTTCACCAACCAAAGCTATGTATGTGATTTATTAATAGCCTGTTGAAAGTGAAACTAACTTGGTTATCATTATCTTTAGTGGAGCATTATACATATTTGGATTTGAGGATTTCACATGAAATTTGCTTCTGGAAGAATGTCTCAATTTACAAGTAGAAAAAGGTCTCGCTTGAGACATTTAATCTACACTCAACGTAATTTCTGTTGATTCAGAACGAGACAGTTATTCAACTCGGCACAATGATTTACTTACAATTTAGTTTGAACTTGACTCTTGTGTGTGTTTATGTAGTTAGCTGCTGCTGATGATGATAGGAGAGACTTTCATGTAGTGTGGATGTATATAGTGAGTGGCATTTTAATGGTTGAGTAGTTTTGGTTCATAATGAAAAATGTGGCTTTTATTTTAATAACTGCTCTTGGTTTCCTCCTCACCCTCGGAGACGACATTGCTCGCACTCACTCTGGATTCGGTGCCACTAACGAGTTATCTGACCAAGAAGAAGAGTTGGAAGTCACTTCATTCATCGTTTTATCACTTCATCGTGTCTTTCTCCAGTTTAAGAAAGCCCCAACGGAGAGCTAAAACTTGGTCTTCATTATAATCGTCTCCGTCTCTGTTTGTGGTGGTGTCGCTGTGTTCGCTCTGTTTTATTTACGACTCGTGATAGTGGGAATGATACCATTGTGTTGTTGGTTGAGGAGGTTATGCAATGCATAATGTCCCATGGCAGACACGAGATAATAAACGCCATCACCACAAGCTCAACCAACCATTCATCTTGACGAGATGTGCTATGCTGGCACTGGAGGCTAAATTATCTCTTTATCTAGGCAACACCATTGTGTTTAGGGAAAACTAATCTGTTTTCTTTTGGGTAAATGCCGTGATGATGGAGTTGTAGCCTTCCTTGAATATATGCAAGTGTACTACGCAAACACGCCACGCCAAGTTTTCTACTGGACATTTCCAGTCGTCTCAATTAATGCTGTTGCTCTTCTTTTCCCTCCAGTCCCATCAATCGATTCTCCATTACATTTTACGTAAATTACATGCCTGAGACTTGCTTACATTCGTCATTTATAAAACCACATGCAGCAGGAAAATGTGGACCGGATGGGGTCGAAAACTGTTGACTCTGCTCAAGAAGGGATCGAAACTGTCGGTAAGAAACGGATGAGACAAGGATTTGCACGATAATGGAAAACTACAACTACAAGAAGTTACCAGTTAAAAAAAAGTAGAAGAAAAGTTCAACTCGAGTCTCTGCTTAGCTCTCCATTAGTTCTATTACGCCAAGGATAAGATCAAATTAAATCTTTCCTCCTCCTTCTCCAGTACCCAACTCGTAATAAAAAACTGGAAAAGAAACTTTGTTAAACTCACAGTGGGGGATCAAACATGAAATCGTGTGCCAGATTTTACCTAATTACCTCAAGATTAGTTAGATATGCGTCTCAACAACATTTCACAGTCTTCCCCATTTTAAGAATGACAATTTGAACACGAATTCACCTGACCAAACTGATAGTGTGCTCATTCAATTAATAGTTTCTACTTATTTTTCACGAAAATTGTGAACACGATGTTCGGGAACCCTTCCTGAAGCTCATCCCCACCAAAAACTCAATGTACGTATACCAGCGCGGCAGTCTATTAGGTCACAACGGCATTTCCACCAAGAACGGGTTGACTTTAACTATTCCGCTTAGTTTGTACATCTTTACTCCCTCGCCATGGTTCAGTTCAGTTAGGAAGTAAGATATTTAAGAGTTACGATCTCATTATTTTTAACGGAGGGAGGAATCTTGCTCCGAATGCAGAGAGACTTTTACAATCTGTATGTTCTCCTCTCTCCTGAATTTACTTGCCAGAGTTTAAAAGTGAAAAGTTGGTTTACTTACAATGAACAGTGAGTCGAGCAGCGGCTCGTATACTTCCAAGATCATTATTTGCCTGGCAAAAATATATCCCTTCGTCTTCCATCCGGGCTTCTTTTATTTTCAATCCCCCATCGATCGGCTCGGTCCTCCCACCACTTGGCATGTTGCTGTCTTGGCGGAACCAACTGACTTCGGGTGGGGGCATCCCTCTCACGTCGCACAACAAGCTCGCGTCCTCAGAAACGAGAACGGTAACGTCTTCGGGTTGCTGACTAAAGTATGGTTTTTCTGTAAATCAACAAGAAGCACATTGTGAGTAGGCAAAGTAGCCAATAATTTGGCAAATGAGATGAGACGTAAACTTTCTTGTCCGAATAATGCGTTCGGTTGGTTTCCGGCTAACTTCCGTTTCTGACATGAAATCTCTTGACGAAAAAGAGAATATTTGTTCAGATAAAAGCAAACTTGCTGCCATTAAACACAAATGAGCTCGGATCGAAAGTACGACGTGCTCATTTGGAATAATTGAGGTCGTGTTTTCACGTCATTTTACTGAATAAAGTCATTCATTCTCGTTTCGTACGTATTTGTACACCACAACTGACAAACCATCCAAATCTACCACAGCATCAACAGAAACACGCACAATTTTGCGTATTATTACAACTACGACTGCATCTCATCGCCATCTCATGATCGTTATGATGAGGGAAATGAGAGAATAAGAAACTTACGATTTACGCTCAAAAGGACTTCAGGAGTCGTTCTTGTTCCCGCAATGTTGATGGCCAAACATTGATACCTTCCAGCGTCAGTCGCCCTCACATCTGTGGATTTATTTTATTAATGGCCACATGCATATTCGACTCCATTATATGGGCATCGCTATTATATTTATACGTATGAAGCTACCTTTGATGACGAGATTGCCCATATCATTCGAAATCCGTCCGTTACCACTGAAAAGCAAGGAGAAGCGATAAATTAGCATTGGTTATGTGTCTGCGTGACGCGTCTCAAATTTCCAGCTCTAATCGGAATGAATGATCTAGATTTTCGGGTTAAATTTTAAAAACCATTAATCTCGCCCAAAAAAGTGGAGAATCAGTGAACGAGATCAATGGAGCAGAACGGAAAAAAGTGTTGGGATTGGAGTGCTAAGGGCACTTTCATGTCGAGGATAAGCATAAGAGTTGCTGGTGTTATGTGATCCCTGAGGACAACCAACAAGTCAAAGTCAACTCCACTCCTCGACTTTATCTATCTGATTCCGAGGCGGCGGCGGAGAAGCAAAGTCTTTGATCCAATAAAACTTTTAGATTAACTCCAACGCTTTTCCTCCACCTCGTCGCCAGCTGCTTTTTATTGTACCTGATTTTCCAAAGGAGGGGACTGAATTGGCAAACTTTGGACATTATTATCTGCTTCCACTTTGCTTACCTGGGCATTCGGGTTTCCACGTTTTGACCGTTTCGATGCCACATTATAGTTGGCTCAGGCCTGAAAAATTTATAAATTATGAAGAAGATGGTATTACAAGAATAAATTATGTAGTGCTAATTAATGCATGTATCTAAAAGTAGGAATAGACTAATAGACTATCTATATATATATTTTAATATTTTACAACATGTTGCATGTGGGCTGTCACATTCGAAGGACACATTTGTAAATCTTGCTATTTATCTAACAAGTAAGTGCATCACTCGATGAAGTGAGTTTCGAATTGGATAATAAATTGGACCATTTGCAGATGAATAAATTAACGAATTAACGAAAAGAAAAGCAACTAAAGTGACCAGATACTTACGTTCCACGGGGGGGCTGACACTTAAATACTGCGGTTTCACCAACGAGTACTATGGGAAAAAATAGACAGGAGTTAGATATATTATAATATAGTCATTTGGTAATTCACTAGTACCTTTGGTGTTTTGTGGCGTAACTCTGAAATCGTCTCGGATAACTGGAAAAAATACAAAAACAAAATTCGTGTTACAGACAGTCATTAAACCCCAAAGGAATTGGTGACATCATTCTTAACGGGAAACATTATAACTCGGTTTCGGGGTCCGGACCGATTTTTTGTAAAAATGTGTAAAATTTAAACAAAATCTGCTTCCCAATTACATTAGGTTGGTCTTATTCATTTTGTCTTTTCGAACTTTGTTTCTGAAAGTACATACATATTCTTGGCATCAATAATGAGCTACAGATTCAGTTGCATGATAATGGTAATTATATGGTGCACTTGTAACTGTTCAGCAGCATGATTTAATCATGAGTCCAACACCTGATACCATATGTTCTAACTGAATTACACCAATTATTGCTTCTGAATGAGAATTCCTTTTCAATTTCATTCTCGAATATGAAATTGTTTGGTCTGGTGGTGTGTGTAAGTGCATCAGCATAGGCTACAAAATTCATTTTTGTGCCAGATGGCAGAATAAATATGCAGGGTCCACTTGAGTCAAGTACACTTCAAGTTTGATGAACAACATTGGTAATTGTTCACCCTATCATCAAATACGTATCTTAACAATGCATCAACCCTTTTCACCATGTCATCAACAGGACGTTCAACTGAAAAACTCGTGCATATGCAGTTGTATCAAATGCGTGTGTCCATAATCCTTCGCTGGTGTGCCAAGTGTCAGATTATCGAAAAGGGTCCATTTTCTACCAAGTCTCATGAGTTTATTCGTATGTATTTGTGTGATTATGTGCAGATATGGAAGAGAGAAAGATATACTTGCATACTTCGGTGTATATGATTCAACTTCAAGTCAACTAAACATGGAGATTTTATGATAAGCTCGACATCTGTTCAGCGAGTACTTGGCCAGATAAGTTTGCAGGTATGCACAAAGCACGAAATCATCCAGTCATGAATTCCAGAACAACAATATTATTGCATGGCCCATCACTCGTATGCTCATCCATTGAGAACCTGTCAATCACAAGGCCTCCGCATGTGTATAGAAAAGGGGACCCATGACCCTAGGCGATTGAGATCCGATAACTAAAAGTACCGCATTAAGCCACGCTACGCTAAAATACGTACGAACGCAATGCAACCCACTTCACGCCACACAAAAGGTGAACTGAGAAACTTCGTCATTCAACTCATGTTCCAACTTATATCCAACTTTTTCTAAGTTGAGGATGACTAATCCACCTTCAGTGAAAATTAAATGAAATGAAAATGGATCAATCATCAATCAGAAAGAAAGGATAAGAATGCCTGCGAGTGAGTACTAAATAGTTAGCAGGATGATGAGTTCAGGTGATCTGCGTGAAACATCCAATAAACTCGCACCCTGAAATTAACCTTATGGCACGACATTGGTTTTTACCCCTCTCTCAGCCATCCATGCATGGAAAACACGGCAACAAGGGGATTTATTTATGACGTTGAACACCAAAAATGATGCCTTTTAAAATAACATACTGCCCAGTGAACCAATGCTGACACCCAGGGCCACAAATAAATATATAACCATGTTATGCCTACATACGTACATTTCCAAGTTGTTCAGACGAAACGAACGAAATAAAAAAAAACACCTGGAATCTCGGACAGAAAGAGGAACCCAACCGGGTTGGATTTTTTTCCTAGGACTCAAAGTCCCGACAATCCGAAAAGTGCAGTAGACAGACATGGACACATCCTCCTGCCAATTCCAAACCTGATAAACGTCCAGGGCACCGCAGTTAATCCTTCCGGGTGGTGTACACGATTACCCTGTTTTTAATCTTTGTAATGGTCTTATCCAACTACACACCAAAGTGAATTTCTGTGTTGCTACATGCTTTCGAGTGGAATTTCACAACTGAGAAGGCCCCCCGCAAGGAGACATGAATGAATTAAGTAGAAAATAATCCTAATTCACATCTCTCTCTATTCTGGTGCATAGAAGCAAGGACATGCATTTTCTACCATTTAGGTGAATTGATCCATTCAGGGTTCACTAAAGTTAGTTGTTGTTGATTTGGAGGTCATCCAGCCTTTGTTGATGCAAGTTTTGAGTAGCACGACCCATGACCCATCTCACTAATGTCAATGAAACCAATAATTATTCCTACATGTGAAAGGAAACACATGATCTAAATACGTAAGGGAAACTGCTGTGCCAGTCGTGGATGTTTTTCATACACACATGCGTTCACAGTACGTATATTACAAATGGAAGGATGTGCGCACGTTAGATAAACTTACACGGGTGAATTGGAGGATAAGATCAGTACTTTCTTATGCCAAATCCTGTCACTCATTCACCCACACCACCACATTTACTACAAAAGACTCTTGTTTCATTCGTGGGTGGCTGAGTTACGTTTACGTTGCCATCCTTTCTTTTGTCTACCGTAGTTCAAGTAGTGGAGATAAGGAGGAAGAAAAACAAAGAGATGGTTAGCCAAGTATTTGCAGGGAGGAACTAGTAACTTTGCATCAAAAAATGGTCACAGGCATTTTATCTACAAAACCACAACTAACCAACAAAGCATTCTTCTCCATTTTGTCGAGGAAGAATGGCATGGATAACTTTTCAGTGCATGGAAAAAGTGAGGCGTGCATACATTTCAAAATTTGTAGACCAGCAAGCGCAAATGTTTCGGTGTGGATGAAAAAGAATGAAATGCTTTTGGGACTTACTACACGCGTCAAATTTCATAACACACTTTCTCTCTCTCTCTCTCTCTCCATTTCGGCCAAATTGAATTGGCACAAAAAAGGCGAGAAATATAAAATGTTGAGCAAAGAGTTATTGTTATTGGCTAGTGGGACGTTACATTTGTCTAATACTGGAAACGATGCCATTCATTCGTTCAGCCATGCATAAAATTTGCAATTCTCCAGTCAATTTGATGCGTAAACAAGGCATTCATCAATTCAATCTTGAGCCATTCCAGCCAACAGTTTAATAGGAGAGCCGAACAGTCAATTCAATAGTGACGGAATAATTCGGGCTTTCTTTAGCTTAGTCCCTGCCGAATGGATGAAGCTAATACTCTGTATATTAGCTGTATAGCAAGAGAATGGCTTATAGCCATTTGAGAAGAGCGTGAATGTGAATCCAATCCCATTTAAATTTCAAATGCTGGAAACCATCCGTTTTGTTTCTGGCCAAAAGAAGACGATGAAGAAGACAAGGCCGACGGGCAGAGTGGTTGATGTTGAGTAGCTGGGATCAGCAGACGGAGATGAATGGTTTGGTAAAGTTTGATAAACCAAAACACTAAATTTCTCCCGAGGTAAAAACCGAATTGCTCCACTTGAGAGAAATGCAATGCAACGATCTCAATGAAATGTTGAGCATTCGCGTTCATTTATATCCAAACAGCCCTAAACCCTCGCACGTAAAAAAGTGGTGCGGGTGGAAATGCTCGGAAAGCGAGGCGGATGGAGGAGGATCACGTTGAAGCCGATTCTGCTAACTACCAACAAACTAATCTATGACCATTCTACAAACCGAAGGAAAACACTGTAATAATCTGGATGCTTAGTGCTCCGACAGAAAGTCAACACTATTTGTATCCTCAATCTTTGCATTTGTTGAAATCGTATGCATTTTACTGTTACATTAGCTTGCAGCAAAAAAGTAGGTTCGGGAATCTACAAAATTATTTACGTGTAGAAATACTCTGCATTTTAGAAATTCTTTTCAGCCTAAAAAGGATGCATAAATTCATTCACTTTTTCCGTCGACATCACCACAGATGAGGGCATTAATCTAACCGAATATACATGCCGACTTAACTATATCCGCATACGTTCATATGTACATATGCATGCTCACATAATCTATGTACGTAGAGCTAGAGACTATACGTCACATTATCTTCGCATATAGCTTACAAAACAGAACTAACAAAAACTTCATCTACAGTTTCAGAAAGAATACAAAGTTTAGCTTTCCATACACTCGCTCAGCTTCGCATTAGAAATTTACACTACATATTCTCTATACTTTTCTATTTTCATCTATTTTGGCCACATGAAATATGTAGATCCCGAAAGTTGGAAAGAATGGGTATTTCGAATCTGAGCTTTGATAGTTGCTTGCTACGTATGCAATGTATTACATATTGAGGATATGCATGTTTCAGCAAGCTGAGTCAACTTGGAAATGCACATAAAATCGGAGCAAATGAAGAGATTATTAAGAAGCAACAGAAATTGAGGATGACATCTCGACACTTGGACTTCACCGTTTGACTCTCTCATATCTTCACTCAACACCGGCATCCAGAGAGTAAATCCAGCATCCTAAAAGTGCAACAGCATGTGGTGCGTGTGACTCAATTTGTGGTGATCGTATAATATCCGACATGTCAACTCTCCCTTCTTCAAGTCAGAGTGAAGTGTTCAACCAGAAATGACACGAGTTTTTGGGTGACATTCTCATAATACAAAGTTACGATTTGCTGTCATTGCCTTTCTACAGCACACCCATAAACATTTTGTGGTGATTATTTTTTCGAGTATTATAAATAGGAGACACGACTAGGAAATTCTCAGTGCTTACTTAAATCAGACCCCAAGACGGATTTAAAATATAGCACAATGTTGATTATGATTATTAAATTCTTATCTTATCAAAAGCCAAACAGGGTCCACCTGTGTGTATTTCAATGTCGATGTCCACGTCAGGCCGAAGAGCTGACAGGCAGACCGGGGGATGATTTCAACTTTTGATATATAAAAGATGATGATGATGATCCAGAAGACAGCTGAATGGCTTCTTAATGTTCTCTCCGATGGAAATGTTCGCTCCTTCCATTGTCAGGCAAAGAAGGAGGTGAAATATATGCTGGCATTATTATGTCCTGATAGCAGAGCCAAAATGGGAGAGAACCATTCTCAAATAGACCAATAAATTAACCTGACTGCTTCTTGGGAGATCCTTAAATCGAAATTGAAGTAATTCTATCATTCCCATCTAAACAACTGCGAGAATA